TACACACACACACACACACACACACACACACAAACACACACACACACACATGCACACACACACACACACACACACACACACACACACACACACACACCTGCAGCAGCAGCATATGCACACTTTCTAGTCTAGGAAGGGATTCTCTGCTGATTGGCCACGGACTTATTCATTATTGGGTAATCGGTGGAGGTTTCAGCATTTAGCCTGATTTGCCTTTAACATTATAGCATACACCCTGATTTGCCTCTAACATTACTGTGCAAGCGGCCCAGACAAGGCCTTCACCCCAGATTGCCGGTTAAGACACCCTTAGATGAAAGGGTAGAGTATTTCAAGTTTTTAATCGTCACCGATTACGTCCATCCATCCTACACATTTAGTCATGGTTGTCAATGCAAAGATATGGTGAAGGTGCACGGCGTCTTTACGATCTAAGTCGCTGGTACTCCACATCTTCGTGGGGAATTCAATTACACTGAGCCCATGTTGGAGAGCGGGGCGGTTGTTGCACCATTGGTGCAGGTCGCTACTTATGCGAAACAGTTGTGTTAATTGAAATAAGGAAACACACTTGCCAAATGACCATCGCACGAAACTCAAAAAGAATTAATTGAACCATAATGCAAATGGATCCACTAACAGGAAAGCGGCGACCACATCCGCCGCCGATGGTCTAAATGGAAATAGCGGGCTCTGAGTTGGCCCACAAAGCCACAAACGAATACCACGGGGCCTGTAGTGCTACAACAAGGTCATTGTGCATACTGCTATGCTGAACTCGACGAGTTCTGGTGATACCAGGAGCGCTACTGCTCAAAACACCCAAGAACTTCCAGAAGCTTCTCCATGTCTTCCACATGCTGGAAACGAGTTTGTTGTGGGTGTCATTCCCACGCGCTGCTCTACAAGATCTTCAGTTAGCATGTTGCTGACCTTCACGAATTGTGGAGTACCTTTGCATCAGTTACCAACAACCATATGTTCAATGCCCAATGTTCCACCCAGTTCCCTTTGGTTCCCCAATTGTCCTGTTGTACTTATTTTGCACCTCAACAATTGACATCCGAGTGCTCCCTGCTTTCTTTACCAAACGAAGGGTTTGCAATTAGTATTCCCAATCTGCTTATAACCTTATAGCAATTGAGTACAAAGTTTGATTTACTGGTTTTAGTCCCTCCAAGATGCTTGCCAATTACCCACCAAGTAAATCTCCTCCAACTTGCCAATATCGGACTTCACACCTTTCCTCGTCTGAGGTTTTTCAATGTTCGTTTCTCCATCAGGCATTTAGGAACGACTGTTAGCATTCATATTGTACTAGCGATCTTTTTCATGACAAAGGTGATGGAATGCCTTCCAAAGTTAGCTGCAGAGAGCCTGTGTATACTTTTTTGTCTGCAGGGTTGTTGCTTGTGTTATAAACTTATTAGGCTTACAATTCTCAACCCTCCCTCTGCCTTTGGCTGAATCACTTTATGCATGCCACCCTTGGAATGGTTTGTTGTACGATGAAATTTGTTGATCATTACTATTTTGCCATCTTTGTTCTCAGCATTTTTAGTATCCTATGAACAAAGATAATAAAATGCTTATGGGCCTATGTACCACAACACCGATATCAGAAAATTATAGACTCTTATGCCTTTCCATTTATCCCTGTCAGGGCCTTCGGTTTTCATACTGTTCTTCTTACCACCTCCTAGACGCTTATTTCATTTGTAAAGGACCTTTCTTTTTCAGATGATAAGTATACTACTAGGTATTCCAATCTTTCCCTCATCTTCCGTGTTTAGGATCTCCCAACCTTTAGGCGGTTGAAAATCTTGTTTCACTACGACTACGAATTTTGTCCAATATCAATTTGCAATGGTGTCGGGCGGCCGCAGACCATCCGGCCGAACGAAATTCAAGGGATTGGGCGGTCAACCGAAAGAACAGTTAAGATTCTTCGAGTACTCTTGTCGGGACTGTCGGAGAAAATTAGGGGTCCTCAGATGAACTCTGGAATCCCCTGCGTTGACCGCAGGAACTAACCCTTAAAATTAATAAGTTGGACAACCGCCTCTACCCTTCCTGGCACTTGCCGTTTGTTCA